ACCGCGGCTCCCGGGCCCGCCTCCTCCCGGCCCCGCAAGCCTGCGGGACACGGCGGCTCGGCACCGCTGCTGCCGGGCACCGCTGCTCCCGGCCCTGCAAGCCTGCGGGACACGGCGGCTCGGCACCGCGGCTCCGGCCCCGCCGCCTCCCGCCAGCCCCGCAAGCCTGCGGGAGCCCAGTCCCGGCCGCGCTGCCCCGCCCGGCACCGGCAGCCGCTGCCCCGCCGTGGCACTGAGCCGCGCCTCGGCCGAGAGCACCGCACACCTGAGGGAACGGAATTAAGCGCAGCTGAGGGGAATTAAACTTCCACATTAAACTTGTCTGCGGCTGTGCCGGGCCGGAGCTCAGCTGTGCCGGTACTGCACCGCGACTGTCCGCCGGCAGAAAAAGCGTCAGCCCCCGCGGTGCCTGCCAGTTTCAAACAAGAACGGCGAACACGGCTTTGAGCAGCATGTGCCATTCGCGGCTGCCGAGGCAGGTGTCCTCCTCACCTTTACAAATAACCCTCGTGTATCAATAAATGAGTGCAGGTGCTCGTCTCCAGGCAAAGCAGGGGCAGGTGCGTCAGCTAAACATGCGAAGAACTCAGCTGTGGTTGCAAAATGACTGCTACCGAGATAGAATGGGCTTGGGTGGCTAACCCACAACAGCAACCAAAGGTTTTAACCCAGGTGCCTCGTCATGCATCAGCCCATCTTGTGCACAATGACTTGGGATTTAAACATCCTGCCCCTACACTCCTGGAAAATTATAGAATACAGGGAAATATAATCTATTCAGTTTCATTGGTAGTCAGTGGGTGTTCCCTCCACTGCATCCAATGATTTGACCAATTTAAATCAACTACTGGCACAGGTGGTATGACTTCTAACACTTTGCTGCGTCCAGGTTTGAAACTGATTTTGCCATGTTGAATACTTTGTGAATTTTAGATGAGGTTTCTGTATGTTTTCACAGCAATATATAAAAGGTAGCACTACGTTTTACAGTGTTAACCTGCTGAAAAATGCCTATAAATGAGCTCCAGTCCAGGCCTGTAACCAATCTTGTGAACAGCACCCAGAGCATTATGAGTCTAGATAGAATGTTTTAAACATAAAAGCCCCTTTATTAAAATACCACAGGCAAAAAAACACTAGGTTATTTCTGCTTTGTCCAGCTGCAGAAGGCTCAACATCACCTGGAATTTGCAGTGCATTTTCTAAATCCAAGCCAGCACCAAAGCCTGGTTTTGATTTTGAAATGAGAAATACCCTCATACTCAACCTAGCATAGGGAGACTCAATCAAGCTCTGGTCTGTACTGGCTATGATATGGACCAGTCCAGCTGGAAACCAGCAAAAGGAGCTCACTGCTATTTCAGCTATCAGAACTACACCTACAGCAAGCAGTGGCACATTCAGCACACACTGCCATCCACTGCTGGGCAGGGGAGGCCTTTTGCTAGCATATGACCTTTTGGGGTTTATTGTCTGATAAGAAACTGGAAACAGCATACCTGCTTGTACTCTTCAGAGGAAGGAAGAAACAGATTACTAATATGAGAAACATTATAAAGAAAACCCTTATAAAAATCTGATAATACTACAGTAATTTTCATTATCAGAACTTTCTTCTAACAACAAAAACAATACCTACCTTGCTGTTTACTCATTACATGGGATACCAGATAAGAACTTTTATGTGATATTCCTGTACCTGTTTTTAATTATTAAAAAGTTTTCTTATACTCTCATTACTCACTGGTAGATGACTTGGCAATTCAGCCTTGTAATTTTACCATTAAATTTGGTAGACTTTCTACACTCTGATTCATTCTGTATCTTGCTCATTTTTGCACTGCTGAGTGGACCAAGCAGTATTTGCAAGCCTGTCAACTGCCAGGTTCTCAATGCTCAGGATGAGTATTTTTCTGAGAGAACCAGAGTAATAGCACATTCATGTTCTGCCCCAATTTTACAAAGTATTTCTTCAAACTCAACTTGCCTCACTTGGCAAGAGCACAAGCACAGCTGTCCTGGTAAGAAGAGGGTCAGTTATTACCATATAATGGCTTGGGTTGGGAGGGACCTTGCACATCATCCAGTTCCAACCCTCTGCCATGGGCAGGGACACCTTCCACTAGATCAGATTGCTCAGAGCCCCATCCAACCTGGCCTTGAACGCTTCTACAGATGGGGAATCCACAGCTTTTTTGAGCAACCTGTTCCAGTGCCTCACAACCCTCACTGTCAAGAATTTCTTCCCATTACCTAGCTAACCTAACTTTACTTTCAGTTTAAAGCCACTGTGATGCATTTATCAAAGATGTTTCTCCCCTAGGTTTTTTGAAAAGGCACAAATTTGACGTTTTCTTAAACCACCATTAAACAGAATAGTTTGTTTTCTTGACGTGTTAAAAAAAACCACACATCATTCCTGATAAGGACTCTTACTGCAAAAAATGTAAATATTCGGATAATTTCTGAATTTAATGCTGCAACCACATGGACACACTGTTTCTTTCACAAGAAAGAAAGCCCATTTGTGCATTTCAAACAATGGGAAAGCTTTGTCAATGAAATGTGCCTTTGGAAGAAACACTACCCGGGCCACCAGGAGTTAACCCCCCCTCTTTTGAGTGCAATTCCCTTTCTAAAGCACACTTGTTTTGGCGTTTGTTGTTTTCCATTTCAGCCATCTACTTGAAAATGAAACAAATGTACCATTAGTGCCCTACGAAGTTAATATGTATAACAAAGATTGCATTTAAGTTGTCCTACACAGCCATTCAGAAAGGGCAGTAGAATTTAACATAAAAAGTATCACTTCATTAAGTACAGCCAGATAACTAAATTATTATAAATAGGAACAACCAACATTTTCTACATAAACCCCAGACACATGGAAAACAGTTCCAGGAACTGAGCTGCTAAGGTCATGATTCACTGGTAGTAGTCAGCATGGATTCAGCAAGGGGAAGTCAGGCTTGAACAACCCTCTGCAGTGAAATGACTGCCAGGAGCTGAAGGGAGAGCAGCAGGGACTGCCTGCCAAGACCTCTGACACTCTCCCAGAAGATCCTGGTTAATGATGATGGACAGAGCATGCCCTCAGCAAGGCCGCAGGTGACACAAACTGGGAGTGGCTGATACACCTGCAGGTCCTGCTGCCATCCATAGGGACCTCTGTAGGCTGGAGAAATGGGCTGTGGAGGAAGAGTCCCACATACTGACAAATCCTGGAGCAATTCAGCTGAAAAAAACCCTTTGCAGAGAAGGCCCTGGCTCCTGGAGTTGCATAGGAGCCAGCAGTGGGCCCCAGACCAGGCTGATGGCACAGGCTGCACCAGCAGGGTGACAGAGGCAATCCTTCCCTTTACTCACACAGACAGAGCTGGGAATCCAACCAAAGGGATTCAGGGACTGCAGCACCTCTCTTACAAGGAAAGGATGAGGCAACAGGGATTGTTTAGCCAGAAGAAAGCCCAGGGAGACTCTTATCAATACATTCCATCATCTGAAGTGGGGGTGCAAAGAAGATGGATTCGGGCTCTTGTCAGGGATGCCCAGTGACAGGACAAGGGGGAGTGGCACACATTGGAACACGTGAGCTTCCATCTGAGCACAAAAACATACTTTTACTGTGAGCCCGACAGAACTGCAGCAGGTGGCCCAGGGAGACAGTGTCCTTCCTTGGAGATCCAAAGCCATCTGGACATTGTTCTGGCCAGCAAGGCTTAGATAGGATGGCTGGAGCAGGGAGCATGACTTGCAGAGGTCACTCCAACCTCAACCAGGCTCTGATTCTGTGAATAAACAAAAACATGGAAATTTTGAAAAAAATGCAGGTTTTTGCTTTGTTTTTTAATAGAAAAAGGTCAGGAACTGCATAGAAGTATAACTTCAGTAATCTGAAAAGGTTACTCAGTATTCATCCACACTTGGAAAGTCCCAGTAATATGGCAGGAAGCAAAACAGAGTAACAGTTGCCTACAATGCATGTATTTACATTCAACTGGAATTACTCTGCATAACAATATTTTAAAATAAATCAAATGCGCTATCCAAACAAAGTCTGATTTAAGGTATATTTTGAGTATATATAAAATACAAATAAAGTCTTCAAAACTTAAATTCTTTAGATAAAACCAATTTTCAATTATTTAAAGATAAGTTAGCTCTACAGTAGTAAGAAATGTAAACACCAGATATTGTGATAAAAATCTTAAGGAATAACAGCTTTGTTATAAAGTGCTGGCATATGCTATCAGCTTTATTTTCCAGATGCTAAAAAGATAGTTGTAATTTCAATTCAGGAATATTTTGGCAGAATTTTAAATTATAAGAATTTTTAAACCATTTTTTTTACCTTTATCTACACAGCTTTCTGGCATTTTCTTCTTTACCTTAAGTGAACTTTATCTTCTACATACATATTGAATAATTTGTGGTTTTAACTTAGCCAGTTCTAACTGGAGTCCATGATGGAGAGAAAAAAAAAAATCAAAAGGTCAGGTAAGACACCAATTGGGAAAAGCCAAGGACTTTGAAAACTAAGGGTGTAAAGTACCTGAGCACAATCCAACAGCTACCTCCTGCAAAGTAATTCTGTAATTATATGTACAATCAGTACCACTGATTAATACACAAAGGAGACCTGGTGTGGTTCACTCACACCCAGATATCAGAGCTTTGTCTCTGCTGAACAAACCTGTTACTTTATTTCACATGAAATTCAATCTTGGAGAACTTCTTCTGACAAACACAAGCTGAAAAGTTTTTCATGCCTTACACCTCAGTCTGCTTTCCACTTGTCAACGTGAGCATCCCCCAGTCCAAGACAACAGTCCTGAATCCCCTCATGCATTTTGGTGACACCTCACATTGAAAAACCTGCTCTTTCCTTGTGTGAAGAAAGATAAAACACAACCTTTTACCACTCATCAGGTTCACCTCTCAATCATATTCCAAAATGCCAATCTACCCAATTACTGACAAATCCACAGGCACACTTGAAAAAGATTATCAGATTGTGGTATTTTATTGCAGAAAACAAACCCAATTAAAAGACAATTAAATTTAACCTTTGAGGAGTGGAAAATCTTGAAATATTTTAAACTGGTATTTACTTTCAAAATATCTCTAAGAGTTTTAATAAAAATTCACTGCCAAAAAAGGCTCACAAGCTCTGTTATGATTAAGGGGCTTATTTTATGAGTATGACTTTCAGACTGTTAAGGCACAACTGGAATTTGCTTTAAGACAAAACTTGACACAGGGATTATGACCTCAGAACCAGAACCAAGTGAGAGTGGAAGGCACAGAACTTTAAAAAATACCACTAACCAAACCAATTTTAAAGGCTTAAAACAATTATTAGGTAGTTTTTCCTGAAATACTAACACACTGCAGTCCATTTCACAGAGCAGGCATGAAGCTGAATAATTATGGGCAACACTAATTGACAGCAAGATACACTTCCGCTTTAGAGGGGCACAGAGAAAAGCTGTTAATTGCCGTTTCACTGGCAAAAATAGTTATTTTCAGTTTACTCAGTTTACTCTTTTAACTAGAGGCTTTGTGTTTTGGTGTTTGTGTGGGGTTTTTTCGGGGGGACTGTTTTGGGTTTTTTTTTTTTAAGATAAGGAAAAATCAATACAGGTAGATTATACTATTTCAGAGGTTTAATAAAAGCAAACCACCAAGTTCAAATAGTCACATCAGCATAGGAGCCTCATCTTCAAATGTAATTTATGGTAAGAAGCCAAGGACCACAAGCACAAGGACTGACAATCTACCCATTTTCTATGCCAAGTGTTGCAGAGATCCAACACAGCATAACCACACAGAATATGCATTAGAATGCCCAAGTAGACCAGATCCATAAGGCAGAACTACTAGTGACCCTAGAGGTAAAACAGGTTTCCAAATGGCCCCAACAGACGTACCATAGTCCCAAAACATCAAATTTAGCCTCTATTCAAAGTGCTGAGAATGACAGCAAGCAACTCCAGTAAACCAGCAAGATTAATTTCTCTGCTTTCCTTCCCAATTTCTTACTAAGGGTAGTCCTAAAAGCATGCATGTGTTCAACCCATTTGGCAAAGGCTATGCTTATACTCATTTGCAGGTTTCAGTTTGTTCATTCTAGCATCATCCTTTGACTAGAACTTGAAAAGTGCAAAAATATTTAATTATATCTTCTTAAAAAAAAATAATTCATTTTATTGGTGTAACATCTCCAATTCCTTAGTTAAATCCACTGCCAGCAATGGATAGAAAAGGAGGCACCAGCATAAAAGAATCAAAGTGCATTTCCAGTATGCCAATGCTGCATGAATTGGCAAGCCAGGATCTTTCTTTCACCACTAGAACAGATTATGCTTTCATTTCATGAGAAGTCTGTGTTCTACATCAGCACACGAAGTCTGTCATGAAGTCTTGGGGATACTGCAATGAGTCGTCGAAGCGGAAGCGTTTGGAGAGCGTGCTGCTGTCCTCAGGGATGTTCTCCTTGTCCTCCTTGTGGCTGCAGCTCCCGTTGCAGCTGGATTTCACACTCCGCTCTTCTGAGCACTTGCCCGTGTGTCCTGGCAGCTGAGAGGAGCAGCAAGTTTCTTCGGGGCTGTACAGGAGCGGCAGCTCCCCTTGCTGCAGCCACGAATGGGACAGACAGTCCAATGCAGTGGGCCTGTCCCTTCGGAGGGAGAAAGGGGAAAGTGCTTGAGTTAATTCCACCAATTCTAAAACACCAAAATAGCTCTGATACTAAAAATCTTAAGAAAAATTGACACTGAAGAGTCAATATTGGTGTGTTTTTACCCCTGCCTCAGCTGCTACAAAACACTGTTAAGTACTGGCTACATGCATCTAAATTTAGCTGATGGTTTACCCTAAGCTTTCATCAGAACAAAGAACTTAGTCTCTGGAAATGTTTTCAACATGGTACACATAAATGGGCACTTGCTTTTACTTTTAAAGTACTATGTTTTATACAGACCATCAACAGTGAGGCTCATGAATATTCAGTCATTACCACTTTCAAGGATAGCCAAGTTAACAGGATGTCATTAACTGTGACATTTTCTAGTGTTTTACTCTTGCAATTCATCTGGCATAAACTCTTTCAAAATGTAGATCCTACCAAACAAACCAGACTTAGAAAATTGCTCCCGTGGATAACCTAGTACAGTGCTATTGCAAGTTTTAATTGTGTTCTGCCTTGTTAACTTCCACAGAACTTGCCAGAAAACTGGCTCCAAGGCAAAACAACCCACTACTTATCCCTAACTCCACCAGAACACAGGAATATTCTTCAGTCAGAAAAGTGTAACTTTACAGAGTTGACTCTCTGAGAACAGACTCTTCCTCTTAAAATTCAATGAGGTATAGTAATCAAGAATTGGAATGGGAATTTAAAAAAGGCAGCTTATTGAGTATACAATATAGACTCTTAAGATGCCCAGGAGAAAAATGAGAAGTAATTGTGACAGAATGTCAAATATCTCACAGGTCCACAATAACAGTTATCAAAGCAGGTTCTTAATCACCAATTCCTTTTTTCTAAGTGCTCCACAAACATGAAGGACAAGATTCCCTCAAGATACGGGGGTTTTGTCAATCATTTCAGATCCTGACAAACTGTGTATGTGAGATGCTAAGATAGAAAGGGCTCTTTAGACATGACTTTACATGGAGTCCTCATTGCCTCAGAGCAGCCACTTTGCAGGAATGTCCTACCCAGGAGCCTCTCTCAGCCATGCAGCATCACTCCTGGAGAGCTGGAGGCTCTCTGAAGATGACAAGGATTACTGCCTCACCACAGGTGACAGTATCTAGCACTGCAGTCAATAATACCTGATCAGCTCACTTCTCAAAGTTCAGCTTCTTTGCAAGGCCTTGATTGGAGTCTGAACTTCCAAAGAATGCAGAGTTAAGGGAGTGTGCCTCACAAACAAACAAGTTTTCGCTTTGGATTGAAAACACTTTTAGAACACTGAACAAGGCAAAACACTGCCAAGTATAAAAATATACCAGAAGAGGTATTTAAGTAAAAAGATAAAGGTGAATCAGGAAACCAGAAAGCACTGCAAAGAGATTGCATTGCCTTTCCAAACTACAATAATTATAGAAAAAAAGGTGACCTTTCTAAAGTATATGTTAATAAAATCCGATTAAAAAAATCTGTCATCTGAATGAAAATATAAAGAAACGCAAACCAAAAAAACTCAAAGAACAAGCTTCACTAATAATAACATTATCTGTAAAAATAATAAAATTAATATCTGAAAATTTTAACCAGACATTGAATCCAAGGTTCTTCACACACATTATGGAAAAGCATAAAGTTGCACTTTTAAACATCCAGTTGAAAATAACATATTGTGAAATATCCAACTGGTCTCATCAGTGACATTAAGCATATAAATTAACATTCACTTTTTCTAGGTGCTCCAAAAATTTTGGATTCTTGCCTGGAGGAGTTTGCTACTTACTCTGGATTTTTTACGAGAAGTTTCTGAATGAAGTCTTTTGCAGGCTGTGAAACTGATGAAAATGTTTCTTCTGAATAATCCACATTAACTTGAGATATATTAAGATAAGTTTCTTGAACATCAGCTCCCACAAATGGAGATTCTTGTGTCAGCAGCATGTATGAGATGACGCCGATGTTCCTGAGATAAGAACCCAATATATAAACCTACTAGAGGACAAAATGTATAAACCTACTAGAGAATCTGAACAGTATACCCTGCATATTTACTGTGCTGCAGATCAAACTTTCTGGTACATCCCACTCAGAATTACAGTCAACATATTACCCCTCAATTTTATATAATTCAAACACAACTGCACATACACACAAGGAAAGATACCTGTGTATATATATCAATTAAGGGATTTTTGAAAACTGTTTCATTTCAATAGACCATTTACTTCCTACTGAGGTTGTTAGGAAAAGGAAATACCACTTTTACACAGCCCACTCTTGGGACATGTGGCAATTCTGGATGATAGACCTTCAAAAAAGACAGACTTTCTAATGTGCATGCAAATAAAACCCATCTTTCACTGCAATTATGGATAACGGATCAAAGACTTAATCAACCTCTCTGTACATTTGACATCTGAGTTGTGTTACAATCTATTCTAGCCGAGATGTTTCTCCCAAGAACATGAACAAGAGTACCAAAGAGCATTCAATTGATTGTAAATATTAAGATGGTTTTTTGATGCATAATAAAAACATTTTTGTGATCTGATAGATCAGAATTTAGCACTCATTACAGTGTGGAAACATGCAGCTGCTGGGTCTGTCATTGTGAGCACAGCAACAATAGGGGTTTTATGTGTTCCCACAAAAACAGGAAAATAATATGTGATTTAAAAACATTCATGAACAGATTTAGTTACTATTATGAATTGAGAATTTCAAAGGAGCAACTAGCAACTTTTAACAGTGAATATTAATAAAGATGGTGAAGATTTTTTTGTTTTAAAGGAAACATTTCAAAGCTAGTCTTTTAACATAGCACATAAAATTAGAACACCACAGGAAGTTGTGGGTCAGTTCAAGGTACTTGTCATTTTTTATGATTCACTCTGTAGATACTTCTCTAAAAATAAGTAGGAAGTTTACATCCTTCTTATAATTCGTATAAAAAATTCTTTAACAACGTAGAAGTGGGGAAGGAAGTGTCCTAGAGTAGCCAATACCTGAAGCATGTCTCCCAGGAGTAAGTAATACCTCAAGGATGTTACCCAGCCACTGTTATTAATCCCTCAGAACAACACCTATCCTCCACAAACTCAGAAGCCACCTGCATTCCCCACTAAGTGTGCAACAGATCCATAAATTCCTGTAAGCCCCGAGTTATACCCTGAGGGCTTCATCCCCTCCCATCCCTCCCCTCCCTCTTTCAGCCAGCCCATCAACAGAAGGGGATTCTTGGAAGCCAGATCAAACTGCATCAAGCCCTCACATTGTTAAAGAGTCCCACCAAACCTCAGTAAAATGAAGATCAAGCCTACCACATGTCTGTAGCTGTAGTAATAGGATCATAGTTCAAGATTTCTGGAGCTAAAGAGATGGGAAGAAGAAAAACACTTTAACAAACATCTTATTCAAATGGCCTTGAATTATAAACTACATTTCTGGCATTCTTTTGCCAAACATTATTATGAGACTCAACATGTAGTTTCAATAATTAGGCTTATTATTTCCAAGCCACAAGGTGGCAAAAAGTTATTTCTATTTGCCTAAACACAGATGTTTACTTGGTTCACAGCAAAGTGGCACTACATGGCCTCAAGTTTATCCAAGTTTCAAGATGTGTTTGAGTCAGATGCATGCCCATACATTTTTCTCCTAAGAGTTTGTGAATTACACCGCTTTTTAAGGGGAATGTACAGAGCCTTCAGCATGTTAAAGCTGCAACACAAGATGATCAAGCCAATTTTAGGATCAGTGGCTGTTAGCATAAGTTAGGTAACAAGTTATTCACTGCAGAATTAAGTGCTCTTAACACTGAGTGTTGGCAAATCATGAAGGAAACTTGTCCCTCAGAGAGGGCCAAGTGCTAACAGCAATCTTTCCCTTTCCAAGGACTATTTTAATCTCATTAAATCATCATATTGAATAACATTAAAGATGTTACATTAATTCAAAGAACATTTCTTTGTGCATGCTAATGTTGTATTTAAATTTTAATCAGAACAACTTAACAGCCCGTAACACAGCAAATACTACAGTATGAAACTGAGAGCTGCACTTATTGATATAATTTGGGATTTTTGGGTGCAAATATTTGTTGACCACTCTTAAAGAAGAGCAGCTCAGAATATGTTGCCTTGTCCTGTGACATTCTTTATCAGCCTGGAAGTTGCTCAGTGTGCTACATGAACTATTCCTGTTTGCTGGAAAGCCCACATGAGATGCTGTGAAGCAGCCCTTCCATACCGAGATACTCTGTGGTTCCCATGATCTGCCGCAGCTCACTGGAATTCTCAAGCTTCCGGGACATCCCAAAATCTACAATTTTTACATCACCAAGAGGATTGATGCTACTCAGTAAAATATTTTGAGGCTAGAATAGAAAAAAGTGAATTTCTAATTAATAAAATACAATCTGAAAAAAAAGCCCAATGTAGTAAATGGCACTTCAGCTTCTACTATGAAATACTTATTGCTAAATGTTATTTTAAAATATTTCATCTCTATTCTTTTAATCTCATTTTAATATTATTAAATCTCATTTTTCTCATCTTTTTAGTGTATTCAACAAATTACTTTGATGAACGTAGTAAATTAAAGTGCTAAAAGAAAGCCTGCTGCAGCCTCACCTTTAAATCAAGATGAACAATATTGTTTTCATGCAAGCAGCAAAGTCCTTCAAGTATCTGCCTTATAAGCCTTACAATATCCCTTTCACCAATTCTGTCATCCAGATCTGGGACACACAAGTCAAATATTTCTCCTCCAGCAGCACTGAAACACATTGAAGCACATCTATGTATTAAGTTTAAATTTTGAAACTTTAGCAAGGAAAAATGTTTTCAATAGCACTATATAACAGATATCTGTAATATCAGAGAGGCTGATATTTTTCTTTTTACACATTTACACTAAAGCACTTAATATAAACACTTAGAAAAGGGGAAGAAAATGTGATGGAACCTTTTTTTTCCTTATAGCCTGAAACAGCAGTTGAGACAGCAAAAAGCACTTTGACTGGTAACCTCATAATGCTCTGGTCCCCTCAAGCAAGTGGGGAGATGCCTTCCAGAAGTTGAATTCTATCATCAGTCCCTAATCAAAGAAGCCTTTCTTTTCAAGTCAAATTTAAAATGTCTTCCATGAGAGCATTCATAAATAATTCAGAGCAGTGTAAAGCAGCATGGAAATATCTGTGTTCCTGTGGTTTATGAGTTATTCCTATACTTGGCTGCAGTGTCAGCTGTCTCCTTTCAAGCTGGGTTTGAGATCATTACTCAGCCTGCTCTGAGTGCCTCAAGTTTCTCTCTCAAGGATGAAGGTTTTCCTCAAAACTACAGATCACTGAGTCTAAAGTTCATTGCTAAGTTTACTAAACTCTCTAAAATGAGAGTCTAGTAAAAAGTCAGATAATGAACAAAATGATCACAGCCATAAACCTGCTGAGGTTACATGAGGTGTCAGTAATGCCTCTCCCCTAGGTGCCTTTATGGCATTATGGACATGAGGGAAAGGGCAGAGAATGCCATGAATTTCAACTCTCACAAGGTTTTCAGCACTGGCTCCCATAGTATTGCTGTACTCAAGTTACATTATGGTCTGGATGAGTGGGCGCCCACAGAGTAAAGAGCTGAAAGCTCTGCAGGAAAAGGACTGCAAAAAAAGCCTTAGAATAAATTATATGTTAAGGGTCATTTAGTTCCAGGAAAAAAAAAAAAAAAGCAAAAAGCTTTTTAAGATAGAATCTAGCTAAATTCCTTCAAATTTTCCAAAGAATGTGTACAGAGACCACCCCTAACAGTACTTCAAATACTTTGTACATGAAACTTAAATCTTAGAAAGAATTCATTTCACAGGCTGGATTTTTGTTCCTTGCATTCCACACAAAAATTTACACATACAACAAATATGATAGATAATGCAAATTTAATTCCTAAATCAAACTTATTTTTCAGAGCTAATAAGAAGCACTGGGGACATCTTTAAAATACGGGAATTTTTTAGGAAACTGTTCCAAAAGTCAATTTTAAAACAACAAAACCACTAAATTTAGGAGCTCAAAACAAACTAAGTAACTGTAAGTCTCCAGTTACCAAAAAATGTCAAGTGCTAACTTGAAGTTCACAGGCATGGATGTGCTTAACCTCTTTGAAATCTGTGTACTTGGAATCAGTGACTTTTTTTTGTGTGACTTAAGTTGCATCAAAGCACTCGGGACCTTCTACGGTATTCCAAGAACATTATTTCCAGTCAGCCTGCCTGAAACAACCTTAACAGAAAAATATGAAGTATATAACAATGAAAGATTAGCATCATGTATACAGGGTGCTGCTGCAATTCTTCCGGGCATTCAGGCAACTCATGCAAAAAATAAGATATTGAAAGATTTTTTTCCCCACAAACGTGGAACATGTGATAAAGGCATACTTACTATTCCAACACTAAGATGATTTCATTTGCTGTTTCATAGACTTCATGCAGATTAACTATGCGAGGATTGGATTTCATTAATTCAAGGACAGCAATTTCATGCACAATCTCTGCTTTGCAGTCTTGACCTCTTCTCCTTTTCTTTAAAAATTTAGCTGCAAACTCTTGGCCCGTGGATTTAGCTACACATTTCCTAACCACAGCACATCTTCCTCTACGAAATAAAACGGAAAACACTGAGATGCAGGAAATCAAAAGTGCATAATTAACATTAGAAATAAGAAAATACAGCAAATAATTGAAAACAAACAAAAAAAATGTATTGGGAAATTCCATGCTTGGCTTGCTCTTACACTGTTTCCTGAATGCTCACTTGCAGGCACTGTAGAGGGAGACTAAGCTAGATGAAGCTCTGGTGAGACCCAGGAAAATTCCCTTTATACAGCCTAGCTAAACATTAAATCAGAATATCAGGTTACAGGGACATTCTCACTGTCAGCTCACAGATTCAGCTGGAAAGGACTTCAGGAGGTCCCTAAAAACCTCATGCTTAAAGCAAGGCTGGCCATGAGGTCTTAGAAGTCTGCCCAGAGCTTTGCTCAGGTTAGCAATATATCAAAAACCACTCAATCTCATTACAACACCTACAGGACAATAATAAACAAAGCAGACCCCTATGAAATGCAGAGAATGAACAGGAAAAATAAAGCACATTTAAATGCATGGGTGGGGCAGGGGTGAAAAAAGAATTTGGTCATAAGGAGAATTTCCTTCCACAAACCATGTAGTACTGCTACAAAAATCCCAGGTATCTGCAAAATGTTTCAAAACATCTTAATAGAAAAGTACCCACCACTTAGCATTCTCTTCCTCAATTAGTTAGACAAAGTGTGTTGCTTTATTTCCTAGCCAACTGTTTAGGTATGGAAACAAACATATTTTGCCAAAGAAATGCTTTTAGACGAAAACCACATGCTGTAGTTAAAACACCAAGCTGATCTTTGAAACAATTAGGAGGAAAAAAAATGCAGTTTTTTAAGCCAAGTTATAAACTCCTGAAAAAAAAGTTACTAATATTGCATTCCCAGAAATGCCTGGTTGCATATATGCAAAGTGTTTTCAAATTGTAAAGAGAAACCTTATTTACAAAGAATATATTTATTTAAATAAACCTTATTTACAAAAATACAACTTGAAAGACTGCAATAAACTGTGAGTAAAGTTCCTAAAACAGTATCAAGCTATGTGCAAAGTGCACAACCTACATTTATCTCTTCAAAATGAGCCTGTCCACCTGTAGTTTTTGTTACCACAGCATACTAAGGACAAACGTAATGAAACAGCTCAGAATGAGCTATCTGAGCTGTGTTCTTTAAACTAAATTAGCTTCTCTAGTAGAAAATATCACATTGCCTTGCAGGCTTTGCCTCTTTCTGGAGCAAAAACCCCAATGCTTAAAAGGAACATTCCTTTAAAAAAAAAAAGTATTTTTTAAAAAAACATCTATACTTCAGTATTTAAAAAGGGATAATCATCTCATGCAAAAAGTCAATTTTCATTTGCAAATAACTGCACAAATGTACCTAAATTATTAAATATTTAAAGATGACTTTGACTCATACTGCTATAAATTAAATTTAACAAAACAGGCCTTCTGTCATCATTTATTTCAACATCATTCAGCTGTAGATTTTCTCTACCCTTTTTTGAAAGCACTAAACTTTAAATGTGAAAGTTATTTAGTCTGATACATGCACACCCTTCACCTTGGCAACTATTTGTAAGTCCAAAAGGGCCATGTTCTTTCCCAGTTGTTAACTCAGCTTATTATTGCAGAGGACTTCAAGTTACTGAGCTCAATTTTATAATATACACAAGTTGAAAACACTCCCCTCTCCAGCTCACATTCTCTTTTTAGCATCACACCAACCCTGCCAGCCACCAGAGTGTCTCTAAAATTAACAAAGGGAACCAGTTCAGTTTCATGAGAACAGCATGATCTTCCCCAGTAATTTTGGCACATCTTCCGTCTGCTTGCTGTGGGTTCAACAACTCTGAAGGGTCAGTGATACCTCTAGATTTGAGATTTAACAATTTCCACTTGTTTGTAAGTAGTGTGCCAATTAAGGCAAAAAATAAGACAAAAAAAGTCTTTTAGAGCTGTGGCAATTGCTCCAGAAACACAAAAAAAATCAGCTCGGAAGCGCTGCACTGACGCAAGCGAAGCAGTTCCCACTCCTCGCCTGCACAACCATCCCCCTTCACAAGAAGCTCTACAAGAAAATCTGATTTCAGGATGTTTTCATATCTCAGCTCAGAAACCACAGAAATTTAACTCCTTCAAAAGAAGCCAAGCCATGCACACACCAGGGACAGAACTACTTAACCCACTAAACAGAACCTAACCTGCCAGCTTCGTGAGTCAGTGTCTTAAATACCAAAGGACCCAACAGATAAGGGTGTGGGAGGAAGAAATGGGGCTTGGGAAGCTTAAGCAGAAAACAAGAGAACTATTTACTACATAATCTCAACAGGAAAAAGAAAACTGCAAGTGAAAATTAAAGCATATTGAATACTTTAGAGAGATTACAAGAAAAGATGGATCACTTAAAAAGCATTTATACACTTAAAAACATGAAAAAAATACACATGTAGTTAGGCCAGAAGAAATCACAAATACATTTGTGAAACAAAGTCCTGCTTCCATTTTCTTTGCATTTTGGCACTTACCTTGTCATGCCTGGTTTTGCATGCACAGAAAAAATTAAAAAACTCTGTTCTGGAATTCACATAAAATCTACACTTTTGTTTGCTTTAGATACCATCTCACAAGTATGTAGAGTCTGAAAATCCAGCGTTGGAACAATACCTGAGTTCTAGAGGGTGCTGCATATAAACTGCTTCTGTAGAGCTTAGAATTCAAAAGCAGAGCTGACAAAAGTTAAGAGAAGAAGAAAGTTATGGGCTGCAATGTGCACTTCTATAAGAGTGTTCCAGATACAAAGCACATGCTAGAAAAATAGAAAAAAAACCAAGAGAACAATGAAGGCTGAAGAGTTCCCAAACCACATGCAGAAAAGCATCTCTGCTGACAGAAGGAGCTGCAGGTGCAAAGGATCCTTATGCAGCTCAGCAAGGCACAGCTGAGACTGACCCAGCACCCTCCTGCTCAGGGAGCTTGGACACACATCACAGCATCATGTTTGCTGAGTATTTTCCAGGTATGAATTAACCCAGTGATTTCAAAACACACATTCACTTGTATGTCTGAAACCGTCATAAATGCCGAGGGTTTGGGTGCTTTGTTGTTATATTTCCTATTTTACTGTTGCAAACAAGAGCAAGGGAAGCAGGCTGTCAAACTGCTCTGAAACAGCAACTTGTTTAAAGCTCAGTCTAACTACTTGAGGCTGGGAAGGGGACAGAAAAGGTCTTTGTTTTTTGGATTTCAGAAAACTCACCCAAACACCTGGAATAATCAACTAAAAATCCCCATTCTTTTTCTTACAGGATCACCCTATGTCATCTCTTGTTTAGGCCATGCCCCTGGAATCTATGTGGCAGGGAAAGGAAGATAATCCCAAATCTACATGCCTATGAAAACCCTCCAGATCTCCCTGGCATGGAATAGGCTGGCACCTTATGCCTCAGTGTCCCTACAGAACCCACTGTGAAGCAAAGAAGGGGGCAGAGAAGGACATACTTTATTCTCCACCTGCTACCATAAAGGTTTGCTTCATTGTACAGAGAATTTTCTTGCAGCAGAAATTCCTCTTGCTCAAATAAAATAAATAGGAATAATCTTACCTTCCTAACTGTTTTGATTCAAGCATATAAAAATTGTGGAAGTTTTCTGTCTTGATTGGTGTGTGCAGAGATGTGGCCAACAAGCCAGAAAGGCTTTTATTCTCCAGCTTTCTCCTCGACATTGTCAGGAGCAGGCCTCTCTCTTATACCAGCCACCTGCTGAAGCAAAACAATTAAGAGTTTTGGAAATTCCATAGCTACAGCACAGCAAAATATACAAATATTTTGAGTCTAGGGCTATAAAAGTAGAATAGCCAGAACTTTGTTCAATAGCATCCTGAAAACAACACATTTAATCAGTGTAAAAATAAAACCTGACAGGAATACTAATCAAGGCATGATAATTTAATAATGTAAACACTCAAGATAAGCTGGAGGTTTTTTTCCCTCCCTGGAGTATATCCATAAGATACTAGGGATAAGCTTTAGATCTAATAAAAATGCTAATGGCTACTTAACTATAAATGAGATGTACCTTTTCTTAATCTTCTCTGGATTCTGGGTAAATTCCACACTTCCTTTAAGTTTACACTTTTTAACAGATATTTGTTCCTGGGGGAATTTACCAAAACCCCTTCCTGTTTGTTAACTGCAACACAGCAGCAGGAATAGGTAACAACAGGACAAAGTGGGGCTCTTTTCCCAGTGGGAATATTCACATTTGTTATTAGGCTCACTCATAGCTCCTCCAAGTTTCCTTTTTAAGGCCGAGTTAATTATCAGAGAGAAGCATGAATGGACAACATCCTCTTTGCAAGTTCAGATCATTTAGAATCAAATGATGTAGTAATCCTGATTAAATTACCTTAATAAACCAGTAGAACAGCACATTATGAAGATGCACCCAACCCACTGAAAAAAACCCCAACAAAACCAAACCCAATAAAAATACTGGGGTTTGGTATTCACGTTTATAGGCCTGAAGCATCTCTTCAGGTGAAATGCAAAAGCAAAGCAGAAAAAGGTTACTGAAGGATACCAGAAGTAGTAATTGATGGCTTCTTTAAGTTAAAGAGCAGGTTTACCCTTTTAGTGAAAGAAAAAAAATAAGGCAAATTGCAATTCAGAGACAGTTAGCAAACTCACAAAAATACACTTGCAGCTTAAATGAGAGAAATGCACTGTCACACACTTCTGGGGGAGCACTGGAACTAGTTCTGATCCACATGTAACCCAGTGCCCATCCAGTGTTGTTCACATTCCCATGTTGGATGGAACATGGATATTCATATCAGAACTATTTTCGATGCAAATCATTGTACATCATTTGGCAGGAAAAAAACCCAAACTACAGTTTAAAAATATCTTCAAAGTATCACCTGATATGCAGGAAACAGCTTCTTTAAGAAATTATGTAAAGGTCACAATAAAATCTAATACACAAGTCTTTGCTCACCATAACAAGCAAGCATTCCTTCTCCCCCATTATATGGCAGTTTAGCATTTAAGAGGACGATTCTGATGTCTGAAATTTTACATTACTCTCCTTAGGGCTGTGCTCACTCGATAACATTAACTCCTAAACTCTATCTTCTTCCTGCTGTACTTCAGCAGAAAACCATTGTGCTCGATAACTGGCCTGACTGAGAACTTACCATTATCAAATTTATTATCATTACCGAGCTTATTATGTAAGCTTTCATTTCACACGATCATTCGCATAGAGCAATTACTAAGAAGTTCTGCCTCACGTTGCCTCGACGTTGTTTCTGGTAAGACACCACATCTCCATTTTTTAGCTCAGTATCATCAAGAACAGAGAAGAACACATACCCACAGAAGGCAGAAACCCACAAAGAAACACGTAATCTACTCAGGAGAATGAGAGTCAACTAGCTACGGGGGGAAAAAGGGTTTCCCACTAAACTAGGGAAGTTCAACCGGGAAAAAAAAGTCAGCTCCTTTAGCCTTTTCTAAAGACGTCGAGTCCCTGGCCCGGGCCAGGAAGATGTTTGGCAGCGAAGGAGCACGGAGGGCGGCAGCGGCCGGGCGGCACAGCCCCGACCCCCTCACAGGCACCCCGCGCTGCCGCCGGCACGACCCGGCACCGGGCGGGAGGCAGCGCGGCGCTCCCACCGCGCCCAGCCGGCAGAACAGCACAGCAGCCCCCGGCCGGGCACACTGCGGACACTTCCCGCTCCCCCCGGCCGGGCACACTCCGGACATTTCCCGCTCCCCCCGGCCGGGCACACTCACCGCTGGCCGCCGTCCCTCAGGGCGCCGCTCCCGCTCTCTCGCCGCCTCTCGGCGTTTGAAAGGCGCAACGCGGGGGGAGCGGCTGGGCCAGCGGCGCGATCGCCGGGCCCCGCCCACTCGGCAGAACAACCAATCGGCGCCCAGCCCCGGCGCCCAGAGGCGCGGCGATTGGCGGGAGCGCCCTCCGCGCGGGCAGCGCCCCCTGCCGGCCGCGCGGCCCCCGGCAGCAGGTGCCGCCCGCGGCGCTGCGGGCCCGGCCGCGGGGGAGCCGCGGCTGCGGGGTCGCGTCCGCACCTCGCGGGGCGCGCCGCTTCGGCCCACAGGGCACCGATGGGCGTCCCGCTCCCGCTGCTGTGGCAGCCCAAGCCCTCAGCGAAGGCTCCTCCTGCGTCCGCTGCATCCCCGAGCGCTGGAGCAGCGGGGAACGGCGGAGGCAGCGGGGCAGGTGCGCGGGCCGCGTCTCACCGGGGCCTGAGCGCGCCTGCAGCGCTCCCGCTCCGCGCTGCTGCGGGCCGTGGCGGGACGTGCGCGGTGGCGCAGCCGCGAAGGCCCAGAGACCGCAGCAGCCGCCCCGTCCAGTTAAAAAGCGAGCCGGAAAGCAGCCACCGCTGCCGGGAACGGAGCGCTTTCAGCGCTTCTCTGGAAGGACACGGCTCGCACGTTTGACAGGCTCTTAGTCCTGCATGCAAGTGGACACAGGGTCTTCAGACCCTCGTGAGAAGCTCACCCCCCCAAAAAAATAGTTAAAAGACTAACCTGTGGTTTCAAAGACTCTTTCCAAGGACTCAAAGTAGCCTAAAGCATGGTTCAGAAATAAGCTGAAGTTAGAAAGAGTTCTAAAATAGTTGCAATTTGTTTGTCAAATTGATTTCCTCTGAAGCAATCCGAGTTAGAAATTTGCAAACATCCGTTTTGTAATACATTTGCCATGAAGGCAGTAATAGTAACGTAGCATAAGAGTTTAAGAGCTGTGTATTTAATTTCAGCAGTGCACCATTAGAGTTACTGGGTTAATTCTGTTTGCGCCATGGCACTGCCAGTGAAATGGGTAATTGCTGTGTTTATTACAGTGCCTAAGTCATGCAGTCACAGCAAGGTTTGCATTAAGATGAAAGTAACATAAATGAAGATAAGAAAGCAGAAAGCATTCTTGAAGAGTCTAGAATGTATCACACCATGTTGCTGGCACCCTGACATACCTACTGAAAACATGTAACTCCTGCTTGCTTGAACTTCCATCTGGCTTTTTAGCGCTTTGAGCTGTGGATATTTTTGACAAAAGCAGCCCAAAATCTTTACTCTCTCCCACAGAGTTCCACCATCCCTGCAGGATTCCAGATCATACCCTTTCTTGATTATAACATGATTTCAAATACATCTGTCAAATAAAAATACAACGTGTGGACAGGATAGGTTTTGTTGAGAAGCGCTCTTTGTGCAGTATGAAAAGCAGGCAGCATTCCAAACATACCAAATGAGCCACAGAGTAAATTTAAATGATGTCCACAATTAAGATGTTTTAGGTTATTATAGCACATGGTGCCAAGAAGTAAATGACAGTGCTTATGTTTGTCTGCTTAGCTGTTTTTTTGTCTTTACTGATGCTCTTCAGGATTTGTTCTACTCTCCCTTTAAGTTTTGGAAACCAATAGCAAAAATGTTTCGTGACATGCATGTTATTGTACTCTTGGTTATCTGTTTCTGTAATGCTATGGAAACATGAATGGCACTTAGAGAAGGGTATAATTGACAGGACTCCACCCTGAGGACTTTGGAATTTTACTTAGATACACCACAACTGCGACGGACAAACAAAGGTGGAGGAGGGGGAATGGGTAGGCTGAAGGTCACAAGAGTACAGGATCATGAACTATTATTATTCTTAATGTATACACCTTGTCTGTGGGATAATTAAAAAATAGCAATTAAAGGTGTTAGCGTCATAACTCCCATTCTTAGTTACTTGTTCTCTGGCTTACCTTGATTATTGATCCATTACAAAGCTGGCTCTTTTCAGCCTTTAGAGGCGCTCATGGAAAGAACTATTTCCACTTGCTGAGCAGCCGTTTAGCACAGCTGTGATGCACAGTCCCCGGTGATCAGGCACAGGTCTTCTAAGGAGCCAGCCTTGTGGAAAAGCTCAGCTCCTTCAAGGAATGCTGGTTTCAGCTCAGGTCTGTCCCGGGCTGATGTTTGAAGAGATGGCAGGTTACCCTCCTCAGCAGGGAACTGTGTCACTGACAGTGGGGACAAGCACACGACATTAAGAGCTTCACAGCTGGAAGCTCAAAGTGTCTGAGCCTTCTCCAACTCGTTTTTAATCTGATTCCCCCATGCTAAAATCTCTCCACCTTCTCACACAAGGCATTCCTCAATGCCGTGGAAAATCTCCGGATTCCAGCAGGCACTGCTTCCCACAGCTGCCTCAGTGTCACCCAGCACGAGCTCCAGGCCAACTCCAGTGTTTACACTGAGGGAAAGTAAGTGGTTGTGCACTACGTGGCATCAGTTATCAGTGACCCAATGAAAATATCTTCTGAGTGTGATATCAGGAGTGACAGAGAACAGATTCTGAAAGGGCTCCAGTCCCAAAGCCTTGCCTCTTCCCACAGCAGCTCTGCTTCAATGACTCAGGTTAGCTTGCACCACATTTGAGTAGAAGCAAGAGAATGCAAAATCACCTTCTAGAGAAAGGTTTTTAAAAATGGAAATATCATTTCACTATCAGATTCTCCAAACAGTTTGTGTAGCACACTGGAGAAGTGACAAGTTGCCATTTAACCATTCTCCTCGGGCTGTGCTGTGGTGGGGTGAACCCTTGCCTAAGAGCTGATTAAAGACCAGTTTCTTTCACTCTAACCACTACCATCTCTTAGAAAAGTAGAAGGAAGTATTTGGTGGGGGCCACTGGCTATTATAAGACATCAGAATACATTTCCCCTGAAGGTATTTCCCTGTGAAAAAGAGAGCTTTCCTGTGTTACAGCCACTGCTGGGAAGTATTTTGCTGCCAGCTCTGATGCTCCATTCAAAAGCAGAGGCTCTTCCACGAGGTCCAGGCCTCTCCAAGGTGTTTGCTGTGATATCTGCTGCTTTGTTGGTCGTAGGTTTGGTTTTTTTTCATATGTAGCTCTTATTCAAATTATGTTGCATATGGCCGCAGAATCCTTAATTTCCCCACTTCCAAATTCATGATTTGTAATCTGCCAGACTCCACAGGCCACCAGAAACCACTGAGCAAAGTAGGTATCAGAAAAAGTATCTTGTGGTTTCTCTAAAGGTTTTTAAAGCTCCAAAAGACAGAATGATCTAAAGGTACTCACTTCAAAAAGGATGTTACGATATATTCAGAGGCACAATAAAAGAGATGTTTTACAAAGTGGATTTTGTAAGAAGATTTATTTTAATTAAGTGATTTCATGATGAAACATGGTCTTAAACAAAATAGAGATCAGTATGAAAATAAAATTATACACAGAAAATTCTTTTCCGCAAATGTTTTTGAGTAACAGGGAATACAACACAACAGTCCTGTATTCAAATTATGTAAATCTGTGAGCAGTCAAACATTATAGTACATTCCTTGAAGCCAGGCACAATGACACACATTGTGTGCTCCTGTAACACACTCAACACATTTTCTATCTATTCTCTCTACCTCGAAGAAAAAAAAATACTGAAATGTAATGCAATGTAAAGAGGGAAAAGGAGGGAAACTATGTTAATGCTTGAAGCACGTATTCCCCATTTAGTGTTTTGTGAAAGTCATGTACCAAATTCAGATGAAACTTAAAACTGGCTTGTAGAAAGATAGAAAAACTTGGAATTGTATTTGATATACAGTCTTGTGAACACTTAACTGAAAAGTATGGAAAGGATTAAAAAATACACCGTGTTCTACTTAAAGCTTAGAAATAAATATGCACTCCGTATTCTCAGTGCCTGAAATTCTTTAAAAACAAAGAACTTGGTATAAAATTATATCAAGTAATTGTCAAAAATGAGGAAGATGCACCTGTAATCCTGTTAGATTCTGGATGCCTGCATCCCCACTACAAAAAACTTGTAAAACTCTACACACTTTCAAACATGCTGAATAACACAAACTGTAACCTAGCAAGGGCAGGAACATCAACTGACTTGGGGGTAGCAGTATTCCACACCACATCCCTCATTACCTTCTTTTCCTCTAAAGATCTCCCTTTCCATACTGTACCAGCCCTTACAAATGTTCAGTCAATTATTCAAAAAGCAGCCTTGCTGATCAGGATTCATGGATGCCCTCAAGGCTGCATCATACCCAGGAAAAACAGTGTGCAAAGAAAAAGCATCCTCCAAATGTGATTTATGTAGTTAATATTATCATAATTCTCCTCCTCCCTGCAATGCTGATAATAAACAGCAGTCTCCTGAGTGTTGCAGACTCATTGCAGAAAAATGTCCTACTGTATGGAACTATTGAACCAGTATGGTTCAACATGCAAGCTGTCTTCTCATTTAGGACTTCAAGTTTATATAAAACTCCTCCCATCTCAGTAACCATGTTGCAGAAGAAAAATCACAAGGAATTCTTTTTACTCTCATATTGAATGATCCAATAATCTTGTCTTTCAGGTAAAAAAAACCACATCAACTTTTAGGTACAGAAACCCATCATGAAATCCTCCCACTCTCTTACACAGTATTTTTTTGATAATATCATTAGAGTGTGAATGGAATCAAGACTTGCATCTGCTTGGCTAAAGCTACCTAAGGTAATTAGAATGTTCACAATTACCTAAGTAAGCTTTGAAAATGCCACATCAATCTCTGTCTTTGTGGAAATGCATGTGGATATTTGCATTATAGTTCTTACACAACTATAATGCAAATATCAAGTATCTTAAAAAAAAAACAAAATCTGCATTTTGACACATCTAAACATTAGGGATCTGGCCCATCACACTGAAAACGAAAGTCACCATTGGTTGTGATGATTTAACCTTTTATCAGAAATGGTATCCCTTGTCAAATGCAGATAATAATAAACAGTCATTACTTGTACAAATAAAAGACCACTTCCACACACCACCCTTATTTAAAAGCCTCCCTTTTCCTGAAAATAGCCCAAATAAAAAAAACAACACAGTCCCAATAAAACAAAACAAAAAAGCCAAACAACGTAGAAGTAAATTTTCTGATTGTGTACTTAGATTTTCAAAAGCTAATAATCAGTTAAAGCATGTCCTGCAGTTGCAGTAACACCAATGTATTTCAGGATGAACAGTCTTTTTTTCCTAGGTGCATTATCATAGCCTAATTTTCAAGCAGGAAGTATCCTGTTTTATATCCCAGGGCTCATCACAGCTCACTGTCCTCAAAGTGCAGTCCTTTTTCTGTGCCTACTCTCAGACTTGTCTTCACTCCAGCACTCCTCCATGGCTGTACCTTGTGTGCTGCGTGGAACTGCCCTGTCTTATCATTACAGCACCTACAA